TGCAACCCCCCCCCCCCCCTCCTTCTCACCCCCTGAAGGGCTCTGTCAATTGGCCAGACGGAACGGAATGGTCACGTCAATCCCTCCATTGGGTTACAACGTACAGTGATACGATTTTGGTCATCACTACGGCAGCACGTGAAGAGATAGATCATTTTAACCTGGGCTTGTGTGCTCTGGTAAAATTGATTTCGGAGGATGTGACTAGTTTTCCTTACAGGCGTGGTTTGCTAGGATGATAGGCGAAGAGTGGCTATCATTGCTGTTGCTGTTGTTGTTGCTCCTCGATTTGGAATGCTAATTCACAACACAACTGTGAAATATTAACTACTGCAGCCGACACGGCCCCCATCGCGTTTATTATGGCAATCATCTACTGGATCTGATAACCTCACAATTTATTCCGTTGTCGTGTGACTGGCCCTTGTCAGAGGTGGATTGGAGGGATATACCTGTCAGCCATCAGGTCGCTAGCAAGCCTCGGCTCTCTATGCTAGCTGAAATCGGTACCTTCCCCCTGGCTCGAAAAAAACGCAAAAAAGCAGAGATTGAAAGTAGCGCTTTTTGCTTTTTTGGTCAGTCGGCTATTCTCCTCAAGTGCAGCTTTGAATACTGCTTTTGGTCGACCATGTTGGTGCCCAAGTCTTCCTGGTCAGCAATGTCCTAGGCAACCCTTCTATGCTACACGCTCGCCTCGCTTCATTCCCTTGTATACCTGGCCCTCTTCCCATTGTGGGAACCGGGTCGGCCCGTTATTAGTGGTTGCCGCAATGAGTTCTCCACTCATCAATACCAGCCAAGTCACCCTCCCAACAAGCTGCGGAGATCGGGAAGAGCCCGTGGGAAGGTTGACATTTACGGAATACCCACCCCATACACCCAAGCACGGCCACTAGGGACTAGCTTGTCGGTACTTGTACCCTTGCGCCCCTTTCTTTATCTATTTCCGAACCAGTACAAAGGTACTTTTTTTTTTATTCCCGTGTGAGGTGTCAAGCTTCTTTAAATTGGGGCAACGAAACATTCCGATACAAAAGCAGTGACGAGAATCAATTCCTCCACGTCATCCCCACAGTTTGGAGCCTTAAGGTGAGTGTTTCCAGAAGACAATCATAGGTAGACATGTTAAAAGCTTGCAGCCTATCTACCTTCTACTTCGACAACACCATAAATCACCTTACTATATCACAGGATTCCTCTCCCCCTTCATATTTCCAATCAAGCTATTTTCGTGCTAACCTCCCACGAGCATTCTTTTGTTCAAATAGAGGAGTTTTTTTCTTTTATCTCACCCAAACTCTTCACAAGCGGCTATTGTGCCTTTGATTTCTTCCCCTACCTTGTAAATACTATTCCTGCCCCGCCTCATTGATTAGATTACGTTTCAATGCCGCAACCACACCCCATCTACCCAAAACTCCATGTCTCATCCAGACTGCCGGAGTCGTTGTCTGCACCCGGTGCAATGGTAGCTCCTCCCAACTATGGCCATATTCAACGTGCTCCAGACATGAGCCAGCGCCACCAGGTTCTACGGACGAAACGGAAACATGTCCTCAAAGCCTGTGACCGGTGTAGAGTGAAAAAGACAAAGGTATTTTCCCTCCGGCCATTCTCTTTCTTGCTACTTTTATACCTGATATTAACGTGTACATGCTGTGGTAGTGTGATGGAAATCAACCGTGTGTTCGATGTGCTGTTTACAACCATCCGTGTCTCTTCCGGGAGAGGAAGGCAACACAGACCAAGGCGTATTCTAGAGGGTGAGGAGAATGGTGTCTCATATTCCGTTCTGAGGCATTTGGTGAAATGCGCCCATTACAAATAACTTACTATGTGGTGTATAGCTTCGTTGAAATGCTTGAGTCTCACCATGCTCTAGTTGTCAAGGCACTTCAGCAGTTATATACACGTTGCATCGACAACAAATGTTTCCCGGGCGAACCCATCGAAGTAATTGACGGGTATCCCTTAACACACGCCATCCTAGATCGACTGGGCCTCATTAAACAAGCCGAAGAGCAGAACATTACACATAACGTGGAAGCCGAAATCATGGCGGCCTCGAAATACTGGAAGAACGAATCGTCAGGTTCCAACTCTCCGGAACACGACGATTCCTCGATCGAACCCTGCTGCTCACTCGACCGGTCCCAGTCCAGCGACTCCTGCTCCGCATCCACTCCTTCCGAACCAGACTTGGTCAAATGCGAGTCTTCTCCCACCACTGGCGTGCACGAAGGCTTCCGGGTATTTGGGCGTGAGGAACCATTTTGGCCTATGAATGGCGACGCCACCCTCGCACATGTTGCTCCTGACTATAATCGTGGATTGGATTCTTCTAGCTACAACAACCTGCCGAGTAACTACTCGCCCACTCACCCGAGCCACCAAGCAAGCACCTTGGCCTGCAACGACATTCCAAACCCGGCTTCGTCGAACAACGCAGCGATGATTCCAAGCACCTGTCCACAGACGGGTTGCCGGATCGGTTACCCAAACGTGGCAACGGTCCAGTACCCTGGATATAACCATTCGTACAACGGGGTAGATCAGCAAACCGCCTGGGCTCCACAACAGACGTGGTCTGGATAACTCGTCAAAGGTAATGTTGAATATGACAGGAGTTGCCAAAATATATATCGATGGTCTGCGGATCGGATATCAGATCCAGGAACAGTGACACGATAACCCTAAAACCCGGACCATCGCTTCTACCTATATCGACACCAAGCCACCTTCTCTGCCCGTCGTTCCCTGTCCATATTTCCATGCCATCTTCCGCCAATACATATACTTCTCACGACCTTATGAGATACCCCTATAACATTGTTTTATTACGGCCGCCACTCGTTCGCCGCCATGACTGTATACATTGCGTCAATTTTTTTTATTGATTCCTAAACACATATGTGAGAGGCTGATTGTATCTTGTCCCACCAGACCAAATACAATAATAACCCTGGCGACAGGGCAAAACCCGCTCACTACCTTTCTTCCCCTCTGGCCCGTATTCATGTCTTTCCTATCCCTTTCTTCCCCTTTTTTCTACCTTTCTTCCTCTCTTTTCTAGTTAGTACGGTATATGTAGGCTATCAGGGTATTAGGATTTGCATAGGTTTTCGGTCGCATTGGCTAGGTATGTCGCGATGGGATGCTGCGCCAATATAGGAATGGGAAAAAGGGACCGAATTTAGGTAACGTTACGATAGGTTTTTTATATTTGCTATGTACCTCGCAGGCGCAGGAAACACTTGTTATTTTATATTTCACCTGTGCTCGATCGGTTTCTAGTAAGTAAACGTAGCCTTGAAGAGTTCCCAACGATAGAATAAAGATATACTACTATCATCTTCTGGGTGGGTGATTTTGATGGGGTGCAAAAAAGAAGAGAGCAAAAAAGAAATCTCCTGACCCAGAATCGAACTAGGGACCCTTCGGTTACAATTTGAACAGTTACAGCCGAATGTCATGAACCAACTAGACCATCAGGAGATGTTGTTGTTGTAAGGCCTTCATCTGCCACCCTTTTGACCTCCACCGCTCGGCTTGGACTCCAGAATTATTGACAGCGATAGGTACAATATCGCTGCGACGAGCTGAACAGCGTGTACATGCAAAAGTGGTATTCAACTATACACAGATGATGCATCGCTAACCTAGTTTATTACACTATCAAATAGAATAAATATATTCTACACGCTCTCTGCCCTTCCTTTCGCCTTCTTCTTCTTTTCTTCTTTTTTAAGGCAAAAAATAGCCGCCACGTCACGTGCCACGGGTTTCCCTTTTTACCCGCGAGTTTGCCGCGCTTTTATATCAAAACCCACAAAGCAGCGACAAAAAAGAGAAAAAAAAAGATCCTTTGGACTCCCCTGGGCTGGAGTCGAACCAGCGATTTCTCGGTTTCATGTTGAGAACAATTACAGCCGAGCGCCTTAAACCAACTAGACGACCAGGGGCGTTCAGGTACCCGGAGCCCAGATTTAGTTGTCTATCACCTACCAGTCGTGTTTCCTAAACCGGCAGTACATAGACAACGACCATTAGTCCTTGAGTGGTTTATACAAGCAATAAGCTATATACTGCATATAAAAGCTTCTTTTTCTAGAAATAATAGATCAAATATAATAATATAATAATTAAGCGTGTAATTTAATTTAGTGCCTGGTCTAGGCGCAGTGCAACTTCTTAACCTATCAAGTTCAACATCACTTTCACATCACGGTCAGGCTGTCCATAAACAATTCTTTTACCACGATATCCAGAAGTGACAATAGTACGACCTAGTCGCCTCTACCAATTATTTGCATCTTGATTACTAGTTAAAGGATGTCTCTCGTCGGATTTGGACGTCTCATCCAGGGTCGTCTTTTCCCACCAGCCAACCCTACCGCCTCGCTTGAAGGCAAAACCGTCCTCTTAACTGGTGGTACATCCGGCCTAGGGCTCGAAGCAGCCATAAAATACATAAACCTAGGTGTTTCCTCGCTGATCATTGGATGTCGAAATGCTGAGCGAGGTAACGAAGCCAAGAGGATAATCGAAGAGAGAACGAAGCATGATACAACCACCGATTCCAAAATCCAGATATGGCCGCTGGATATGGCCTGCTATCAAAGTGTGAAATCATTCGCAGAGAGGGTGAACAGTGAAATTCCTGGGCTTGATATCGCATTGTTAAATGCCGGAGCGATGCACAGGAAATATACCCTGACAACGGACGGATGGGAGGAGACGCTCCAAGTTAATGCATTGTCAACCGCACTGTTGGGATTACTTTTGCTTCCGAAGCTAAGGGCAAGCCGTGACCCTCTGACGGGCGTGCCCGCGCATCTTACCATCATCTCCAGTGGATCTTACAGACATGCGAAGGCTGGGGAGATACAGCCAGAGAGGGCGAGTAGCATCCTCCAGCATTTAAATAGCGAAGACGCATTCCGCGCCCACTCCCAGTACAGAGCATCAAAGGTCCTCGCGGAATATACTGCAAAGAGTCTCGCCAATCTAACCCGCTCTGACGATGGGACAGTAGAAGTTATCGTCAACTCTGCTTGTCCTGGGTATTCTCGCTCCGGTCTAGGTCGTGAGTATGATGCCTGGCATGAGCGGATGTTCGTTGCTGTGTTTGAGTTGATTTTTGGTCGGACGTCAGAGCAAGGTAGTAGAACCCTTGTGAGTGCTACAGTGCTTGGTGAAGAGTCGCATGGGAAATGGTGGAGAAGTGATGAATTCCCAGAGTAAGTTATACGATCGTATCCTATCTCGGCTTTGAGACCAATTGGCTACCACTACGTGAGACTAACTGTTGGAGTGTCTCGGCTACTCTTACTGGAACGAGGGAAGGAAAGGAATTGCAGATACGAGCCTGGGAAGAGATCGTGGGGGAACTCAAGCTTCGATCGCCCGAGGTTGAGCAGCTCACCTGATGGGCGGAATGACGACATATGGGGACCGTTTCTGGGGTCGACTTGGGTGTAGATTCCCCCTTATATTCACTCATATATCCCCTTGTGCGGCTACTTCGTCCACAATATTGGACAGATATAGCTCTCTCTGGACTGTATTTATATTGCTTTGATTGTTGGAAGACCTTAATTCGCCTTATTGGTTACTATCAACCACTCAAAGAGCACCTAGACCGTCATTAGAGCGGTGAGCTTCATCGCCAAGTCCTTACTTGGTTGCTCGTGACCATAGTGGTACGTAAAGCCTGATTTGAGGCTGGCTTAAGCACTCTTCTCCCATGTTTCCCTTTAAGCTAAGTCGCATATGCGTGCTGCTTGCCAGTGCTGGGATGCTCCAGGATTGAGGGGCCGAGAACCAACCATGCCCGCCAGGCGATATCCGAAGCTATCTCGATACGAAGATATATAGTATCTGGGGAGATGGAATACGGTGAGCTCCGAATCCTAACCAACCAACGGCTTCAGATACCTATAGATCCGGGGTATGTCATATATGTCATATATAGTGAACGTTTGCTTGGCTTTTCCGGGTGATTCAATCATGAGTGTATTCCTCCCCCCCCCGCTTGTCTTGGAAACCTGTTCTTCAGAGGGGTAGAGACAAGGCTGCAACGTAGAAGTTGATGGCTTAGTGGGACCATATATTCCAAACCCCGAGGCGCGGGGGAAGGGAGCAGTTCCAGGCATAGTTAGACGTTGAGCAAAGCTGAAAGGAGCAGATAAAAAGCCTCACATGATGCTTGTGGCTGTCAAGGATATTCAACGTTGAAGGAGCTTGACTACAACCGTGTGTAGCCAATGAGTTCCCTTTCAATGATAAGCCCATGACATGGATATCAAATTGTTGAAAGTTGACAACGAGCCCCATCCCTATCAGGGAAGAGAGATGACGGAATTGCATCCGCTTTGACTCCCAACGAAGATGAAATATATCTCCACGAAGCACAGCCTGTCTTCGTGGCTGTGGTCGATTTACTCCTTGCAAGGTCACGGAGCCAAGGGGTCAGTGCACGATGCCATGGGCGGTTAACCGTCTATCCTCGCTGCCCCCATGATAGATTTCGACCACGAGATCCCGTGGAAAGACCATCCGGAAAAAGTTAAAGTAGCTTCAAGATCGGGTGGAGGGATATGGCCGCAAGAGGCCGCGCTCCGTAAGAACCGTTTTAACCCAAGGGGAGCCCACGACAGAACCATATGGATGTCGAACTTGCCAGGGATGCAATGCAGGGCCCCTTGAGCCACGCCAATCCCAGACGTTTTGAGTGTCAGCACTACCTCATTAAATTGTGCTGAAGAAGGGTATCTACCCAACACACAGGATGATGTTCCTCGGTTCTTGCAACAGAATGCAATCCAATTAGCTCATGGGGGAACAATCCCTGGCCTTCTCGACGTGGCGAGGATGTGGTGACTGCACATCACATCGGCCGTATTCGACAAGATCGAGTGAGCCCAATCAACCCCACGGGAACAAGCTGATCGGTTGGAAGAAGAAAAGAAGCGATACGGGGATGTTCGTTGTCTGCTAAACCGGGCGAGGCATCTATATCCTTTTAGTCGGTCTGCAAGGCTAAGCACAACTGCTCAGACGTAGCCGTCCTTGGTACGTAAGCCGGCGCCTACAGATGCACATATAGCTCGAGCGTGTCCGGTC